CATTGGTTACATAGCTGAGCGTCTGACTACCTATGCTCCAAATTGTTACCTGAGATCCTCAAGCCTACGCTCACTAGTCATCCCTAGATCAAGGCTGGTAACTAAAGGTGACTGGGCTTTTGCCATCAAGGCCCCGAAGCTCTGGAATTTATATTTTTATAGGAAAGATTTTCATTTTAATGCTTGATTTGTACTTTTGTGTTTTATTAACTTTTGTTCTATTTTTGCCTCTGTATGCACTATTTTCTTAGCTTTTACTTAAGGATGGTATTATTTTTATACACTTTGTGAAGCACTTCGTGACCTTGTTAAGATAATTGCATCATAATTATTACAAACATTTAATCAAGAAAAAAAAATTATTCCAGTGTATATTTGTCCGTACATTCCTCAGGATTGGACACCATTGTCATTGCCACTGAAAGAGGCCATAATCGCTTTTACGGATAGGCTTGTTGTGAATGGTCAAAGTACAAAGGAGACCAAAAGGCCCTTGTCTCATTTATCACCCACTTTAAGAGAGGGTGAAAGAGGAGGAGGCCGGTTGTCAAAGCAAACCATAGCAGAGTGTATCGTAACGGTGGTCTCCCACCTCCTGAGGCCCAAACATGTTGCCCAGAGTGGAGAAAAAAGAAAACGCAGCAAAAGAGTAAGAAGGAGGAGAATAAAGCGAGCCAAGAGATATAACAATTTAGAGTTTGATTCTAGGCCTGTGCCAGCAGAGGTGTGAGGTGCTGAAGACAGCCAAAACAGCCTCTAGAGAATTTATATGGATGGAGGTGAAGGGTCAGACTGCTATTAATCATGGCGTGGGATTAAATAGCTCGGTGTAGCGGGCAGATGAGAGAAGCCGGCCTGATCGAGGTGTTTAAAAAGGCCGTGTTGTGTCTGTCTTCTATTACAGAGCGAAGGCCTAAGGCAAAACAGCCAAACAGGATGAATAGGATGTCCAATCACTGCTCTTCCCTCCTTCCCCCTCCTCTGATGAGCATTTACCAAGCCAATTAAGTCACTTAACATCATCGCGCTAACATGACACCGTTGGACAATTGATAATTGTTTACTCGGAAGGACGTATTCACAACAACAGCAAAGCCTTGAGTGGAATCATCAGACCTTTTTTTCCTCTCCTCATCTGCACACCTAACACTCACACATAAACGCACGCACTCTCACACACCTTGAAACAGCGCCCAGTCAGACTTTTTTTTTTTTTTTTTTGCACAACTGCCTTTGATCTTTGATGTGCCATGCATTGCATTAATTATGCATCTCGCCTCAGTACAAACGTGGTGAACACCTCCAAATGCTTAATAGGAGCAGGCTCATCGCAGGGGCCTGGAGGATGGCTGCAGGAGGCGTATGTATACCCTACACCGCTCCTATAATGCACCGCATAAGGGATTTTTTTGACAGTATGTAAAGCCTGCATCTGTGGTACTCTCCTTCAATCTGGGCCAGAGACGGGACATTTTTCACTCTCCTGAAACATGTGTTCTCCTCTGTGTGAGCAGGGCTGTGTGTTGAAGGGGAGGAGGTGCACACAAGATGGATATGACTTGGATTAGGCATTTAGCTGTCATGTCCAGAGCAGATAGCAGCGAGAACAATCACAGAGATCTAGATCTAACAGTGAGAGTTATGTTAATTGAGCTAGCTGTAAAGCTAGCCGTGGGGCGCTTACGTGAATCTGCCCCAAACTTTTACGCATCTGCAGTAAATTCATAGATGTTTCTTCTTTTGTGTCGCAATGGCAGATCACAGTGTGAGTTTAGTAAACATTAGCAGATGCAGAGTCGGGACTTTTGGGAAAATTATTGATACAGTGACTGTGTAGCATTTGGCCTGCACAACTTTGTTGGTCTGGCTTTACTTTTGTTGTTGTTGCTGTTGTTTTATGCAGTGTAAACACAATATCTCATTGTTAGCAGCAGAGGCAGATTATGAGACAATGGGCCCCTGGACACAGACATGTAAAAGGCCCCTCCACATCTCCTCCACAGACTTTTTTTTTATTTTTTTTGCATCTCTTCATAGTCATTTTGTGCCTTTTTTGGTCATTTTGTGTCTCTTTGTGGTCATTTTGTGTCTTTAATGGTTGATTTTTTTTGTCTCTTAATGGTTATTTTGTGTCGCTTTGGTTGTTTTGCCCCTTTTTTTGTAGTTATTCTGTGTCTCTTTGAGGTAATGTTGTGTGTTTCTCTGATGTCATTTGGTCTCTTTGTGGTAATTTTGTGTCTTTAATGGTTGTTTTTTGTCTCTTAATGGTTATTTTGTGTCCCTTTGGTTTTTTTTGCCCTTTTTTTGTAGTTATTCTGTGTCTCTTTGAGGTAATTTTCTGTGTTTCTCTGCTGTCATTTGGTGTCTTTTAAGGTCGTTTGGTGTCTCTTTGTGGTTATTTTGTGATTTTCTTTTGTTGTTTTGCACCTTTTTGTAGTTATTTTGCATGTCCTTTAAGTCATTTGTGACTTTTTTTGGTCGTTTGGTGTCTCTTTGTGGTTATTTGTGTCTCTTTGAGGTAATGTAGTGTGTTTCTCTGATGTCATTTGGTGTCTCTTTGTGGTCATTTTGTGTCTGTAATGGTCGTTTTTTTGTCTCTTAATGGTTATTTTGTGTCACTTTGGTTTTTTTGCCCCTTTTTTGTAGTTATTCTGTGTCTCTTTGAGGTAATTTTGTGTGTTTCTCTGCTGTCATTTGGTGTCTTTTAAGGTCGTTTGGTGTCTCTTTGTGGTTATTTTGTGATTTTCTTTTGTTGTTTTGCACCTTTTGTAGTTATTTTGCATGTCCTTTAAGTCATTTGTGACTTTTTTTGGTCGTGTGGTGTCTCTTTGTGGTAATTTTGTGTCTCTTGTAGTTTCTTTGCCCCGTTTTGTAGTTTTCTTGTGTCTCTGTGACGTTATTGTGCGTCTTTTTTTGGTCATTTTTGTGTCTTTTTGGTTGTTCTGCCCCCCTTTTTTTACTTGTCTTGTGTTTCCTTGAGGTCATGTGTCTTTTTTTGTTGTTATGCACCTTTTTGTAGTTATTTTGCATGTCCTTTAAGTCATTTTGTGTCTTTTTTGGTCGTTTGGTGTCTCTTTGTGGTCATTTTGAATCTCTTTTTGGGGTTTTTTGCCCCCTTTGTAGTTTTCTTGTGTCTCCTTGATGTTATTTTGTCTCGTTTTTTGGTCATTTTGTGTCTCTATTTGGTTCTTTTGCCCCTTTTTGTAGTTGTGTTGTGTTGTGTTTCCTTGAGGTCATGTTGTGTCTTTTTTGTTGGTATGCATCTTTTTGTAGTTATTTTGTGTCTCTTGGTTGTTGTTTTGTGTCTTTGAGTTTTTCTTTGATGTCACTTTGTTTCTTTTTTGGTCTTCTTGTGTTTCTATGTTGCCTTTTTGTGTTGTTTTGTGCCTTTTTGTAGTTATCTTGTGTCTTCTTGAGATTATTTGTGTCTTTTTTGTCTTTCTGTGTTGTCTTTTTGTGTGATTTTTGTTATTTTGCACCTTTTTGTAGTGATCTTGTGTCTCTTACTTCTTTGTCGTCTTTTTTGTGGTCATTTTGTGCCTTTTTTGGTCATTTTGTGTCTCTTTGTAGTCATTTTTTGCTACTGTTTTTAGTTGTTTTGCACCTTTTTCTAGCTATCTTATGTCTCCCTGAGTTTATTTTGTGTCTTTTTTACATCTATGTAGTCTTTTTTTGTCGTTTTATTGTTGTTTTGCCCCTTTTTATTGTTATCTTGCATTTTCATGTGTCTTTTTTGTTGTTGCTTTGCCACTTTTTGTAGCTATGTTGTGTCTCTTGGTTGTTTTGTATCTCTTTGAGGCAATTTTGTTTTCGTCTTTATGGTTATTTTTCTTTGTGTGGTTCTTTTGGTGTCTCTTTGGTCGTTTTTTGTGTCTCTCTGTAGTCATATTGCGATTGTTTTTAGTTGTCGTGCGCCCTTTTGTAGTTATTTTGTGTCTCTTAGTTGTTTTGTGTCTCTTTGAGGTAATTTTGTGTTTTTCGTGGATGTCATTTTGTGTCTCTTTGTAGTCATTTTGCGATTGCTTTTAGTTGTTTTGCACCTTTGTTGTTTTGCACCTTGTAGTTATCTTGTGTCTTCTTGAGGTCATTATGTGTCTTTTTTGTCATTTTGTGATCTGTTTTCCCCCTTTTCTTGTGTCTCCTTGTGATCATTTTGCATCTTTTGGGGTCATTTTGTGTCTTTTTTTGTTGTTGTTTTGCCCCTTAGTGTGTCTTTGCAGTTTCTTTGCATCTGTTTGAGGTTTATTTGTTTCTCCTCCTGGTGGGCATGAGTTAATTTGAGGGACATTTTGCAGGTGAAGGCCAGAAGGGGCCCTGACACTTTGAGCCCCTGGGCCTGTGCCCAGTTGGTCCATTCTGTAATCCATCAGTGGGTAGGAATAAGTTGTGATAAACAGTTTCCTTTTAAATGTGGCTACAAGTTGGTAAAGTGTACATTTTTTATCTTACTTGTTTTGTTAGAATATAGCAATGCAGTGTTTTTCATAGAAACTCATTTGTGATGCCCAAGGTTGAACAACAATTGATCTGAATGTGCATTCAGGTAGTTATAGTCAGGTAAACTTGGATGCCAGCCTTGGATTTGTATTCATTTATTTAGTCTGTGTCAGACTCACTAAATGTATTTGATACCAGATTCAGACTGGATAAAATGTTATAAAATCCAAACACCTCTGTGCAGATCAGTGTGTTTATTTGATTTTTTTTTCATGTTATAGCAGCTTCTAGAAAGCGAGAGAGAGATAGGCTAACTGCTAATGCAGTCGAAACATCTATCTACTGAGCCAACAGCCCTGGTTCAACAGATGTGACCAGGTTAAAATAACAGGAGATAAGCAGTGGAAAGAATAAGTAGGCTGGCTGCTGCTCAGCTGAAGGGGCTCCGCACGATGTGGAAAAACCTCCACCTCAGGGAAACTTGACTTTATTTAATAATCCGCAATCAAATGCGCTGCGTGTTTGTCTTTTTGCGTCGTTAATTTCAAAGTTCACGATAAGACTCCCCGCGTGTGCGTCTGCGGTGTCGCTGCAGCCCGGCCTACGCTGGTGGGAGTACCCCCTGCACAGGTCCCCTTTGCAGTGCAGATCCAGTAGTTGGAGTTGTTGTACACCGAGCGCGAGAGGGAGAGGAGAGGAGCGCGAGCGCAGCAGCTGAGTGAGCAAACAAGAGATAGAAACATTAGGTTATCTATCTGAGACTACCACGCGTCGACCTGTCACTTTTTACCGCTTCGTGCACTCTACTTGAAGAGGACCCCAGCAGCAGCAGCAGGACCAGCAGCAGCAGCAGCCCCGGCACCAGGACCAGCAGCAGCAGCGCCCTGGTCTGGTCTGGTCTGCTCGAGCAGCCGCCTGTGAGAAAACTCCCAAACGCGGTCGTCTCAGCTGGCATGAGCTAACCTACCAGGCAGACATGGAAACCAAACCGTTCTTGTCATTGGGTAAGTTTGTTTGTTTAATGACTGAGCCATGTTCTGGTATAAGCGCGAGGGGGTTATGATAGTGTGAAACGTGTCCTCGCGCTCCTCTTTGCCCTCTTTTTCTTTTTGACAGCGCGTGCAGCGAGTTGCCAAACGCATCAACATGTTTGGAGCTGTCGACGAGCCTCAGCGGACGTTGTCTTCTTTCGTTTTCCCACTGAAATAAAAGCAGATAATGTCGTCTTTATGTTGCCAGTGTGGTGTTGCTGTTCGAGCCGGTGACATTTGGCTTTGATACGGTGTGACATCTCGCTTGGGATACGCCGTGCGCGGTGCTCGCGTGCGCTGCAGTTCAATGTAGTTGCTTTAACTTTGCTTGAAAGTTTAATTTGTGTCGGTTACATAAGGAAAAGTGTATTTTAAGCGTGTGCTACGACAAAACTGGACTAAAACAGTAGTGCAGAAGCAGCTGGAAGAATTTCAGTTTGTACAAAGAGTTCTTTTTTTACTTTGTGAGCACGTGTTTGCGTTAAGTCAGGCTTTTTTAAGCTATATGGTGTTTCACGTGACTTGGTTTAAGTTGCTTCCGTTTGACTTGTGCAGCAAGTGTTCCTAAATGAACCCAAGCAGCATAAAAATTTGATTTAAACTTGGCTGAGTTGCATGCCTTGTGAGAGACTGTTTGTCTCCATAAAACTGCACTCAAGTTAGGATCAAGTCAGAAAAGGTGACACAGGTGTGCAGGATGTTTGTGCTGAAGCCTGTTTTTGTGCATGGAAATGATGCAGGGGTCACAGGTCATCGAGGACACTTGATGAAAGAAGTGAATTTGGCACTTTGTGTGTTTTTAAGGAGACAGAAGAGCGACTTTAATATGAATTTTTCATGCTGCATTCCCCCCCCAGAAAGTCTTCAAGGAAAAAGAGGGCATTTACACAGCTGTCATAATTTTAAATAGCAACGCAGGATGTGTTTGAATTTCCAGAGCAAGTTCAACAATCATTTGAATAATGTTTATGACTCTTGTTTTGAAGCCATTCATCTTAGGCTGGAGTTTAATCTTCATTAAGCACTCCTTTTAATTTCCACTTTAAACACACGCTGTCACACACAAGCACACCACACTGTAAATTATTAATGCCGAAGCCGCTACTGTGAGTTTGTCAAAGTGAACAGAGCAGACCCTTGTCCCCTGCAGCAGAGCCAGAGACGCAGCACAGAGCTGTAGGCGAGCCCTGTTATTGTGTCTGCTGCTCTTTCATGAGGGCGTCGTGTTACACCTCGACACGTATCATCAGCTGCCTGGATGCACTGAGGAGATTCACGGGGACTTCTGAGACACCGGGGCGGCTTTCTTCTGTTACAGGGGCCCCGTTCGCTGACACTGTCGCCACAGCGCCCTTTATGTGGCTTCCCAGAAATACTCCAAACCGCCAGTGTTACACACACACTGACAGGCTGTTATTACAGGTGCACCGTATTGTGTGTCCACGCTGAAAGTGATTCAAGTTTCACTTGCCTAAATGTGCACCAGAGGAGCTCATGCAGACACTTGACAGCGTATACAAGCCTTATCTGAAAGCCCCTTTGGTTGGTGTAAGGCTTAATTGTTTAAATGAGGAAGAACACTTTTCCAGCAGTGTTGGATGTCGTCTTTTACCTCCCAGCCACACCACATGCTGCATCAGCAGCTTTCTCATCGCCTATAGTCCTAATCTGCGGGGCCCCTTAAATCGCCATTTATATTTAAACTTGCTCCATCAAAGGTCCACTTGAGTGCTGATTGGTAATTGGCCGCTTCAAGGACGCCGCTATCTGTGAAGTCCTTGAACGTATCGATTAGCCGCTTACTCAGTGTAATTATCTGTCGTGCTGCATTAGAAATTCTGACATGCAACTGTTTGAAATGACAGCAGTACATTTTACAATTATAGATTGGTTGTTGGCTGTGATGACGACACCCCCCCTCCTCGTCCTTTGGCACCGTACGCTCTGTACTGTATGGTGATGTGCTGCCTGATCTCACTATCAACCCCCCCAACCCTGCCGCCATATTTGACACTAAGCTATGAAGACTGAAAGGATGACATTGAAAGGAGAATGTGTCCTTTTGTCAGAGCAGTATGAGGCTGATCATGACGGTCTGTCAGTGGGATAAACAGTGCGGCTGTGAAAGGAGAGTGTGGAGAGCGTAACGTGAAAAGCTCTCCCTATAAGTCAGTCAGTGATAAGATAATCATTTACTATTCGGTGTATCATTTTGTGTCACCTAAATAAGGTACCCCCAGGTGATTTTTGCAGGTCTTTTTTTCTTATCTACGATGAGAGGACAGTGTGTTGTGGGGATTGTAAACTCCTTAGAGACAAATTTGAGCAATTTAGATCAAATCGACGAGACTGAGACGACCATGTGAGATGCGCAGCCATCGTTTGTGATTAATAAAACCTTTTATGTTCACGTGATTTGTTTCCGGGATGATTTACATGACTTTTTAGGGAAGTGAAACCAGTTTTTCTTTTGAAATGACAGCAAATGATTTGATATTTACACATTAAATAATCTGATTTTAAAGATTTTTTGCTCAATTTCAGCCTGTGTTTAAGTAAACTCGACTGAAGTTGTCACAATTTAGAGCTCTGTGAATTAATTTAAAACAATTGAGCTCTCTCCAAAGGCCTGTTTCACCACCTGCGGTGTGTGTGTGTTGATTTTCCTGAATCCACTGGATCTGAACTCTGGTGTATTCTGTTTGAGGGGACTATAACGTACCCCACAGCACAGACACACACTCCCAAAATCAATGAAGTTCATGGTCTTTGATGGGAAAGTGAGATTCATGGTGGTGTGTGTGTGTGTGTGTGTGTGTGTGTGTGTGTTTGTGTGTGGGAGAAACTGACATTCCTTTTCTGGCAGTAACTCAGGAACAAAGGTAATACAGGGAGAGGGTGTGTGTCTGCCGGGAGGGTTGTGTATGTGTGTGTGTGTGTGTGTGTGTGGTGGGAGTGGGCTGGTGGAATTACACCGCCAAAAGCATTTGGCCAAGTTTGTCTTTTACGGCCGTCCAGTTTTGTGTTCCTGATGTGATGCCTTTGCTCCCCTTTTGAGAAAAGGGGGCTGCAGCTGTCATTTTTATTGGAGGAGTTTTATAGCGAGACTTAATGGCTTAAAGTGACAGCTCTCTCTCTCCCCCTCTCTTTTTTTTTCTCCTCTCCCTCTCAATCTCACCCACGAGGCCTTTTACTTGAGCAAATCAAAGAAAATTTGCCTTCCATGTGCCCACTCTCCACTTTCCCACCCCTCACCCCTGCCAATATCCAAACCAAACTGTACTGGAGAAAAAAAAAGATTTATGCTCCAATTATGAGCACAGCGGGAGTGTGTGTTTTTTTGATTACAGTAAACTGGGATGAAGTGTAGACCAGTGCTTTCCCCCCGTCCTATATCTCTGCTGATCAGTATAAATCATTAAGCATTGGCTTCAGATAAAACAGGGAATATTTTAGCTTGTCAAGCTTTCTCTCCCCTCTCCTCCGCAGCCCACGCTTGATAGCGATCTAAATAGTACGAATCAGAAACTGCTGGAAGGCTCTTCGATGCCCGAATCATGGAGTGACTCCAAGGCTCGTTAATTATTTGTGCGAGGAGCTCCTCGCCAGCGTGAGGTCTTTATTGATAACGGCTGCGCTGAACTTTGCACCTTAAACCTTGACCTTTGCTCCTCGTATGCTTGATCATTTCAGGAATTTGCCTTTGGCAATCTGTTGTTTGGAGTGTTTAAAGACAGTAGCGTGTCGTTTTTCTCTATCGATATGTTCCTTTCCTTTTTTCTATCCTGTCTCATTCCACTATATGTCTAGATTGCGGGATTTGTGATGCGAAAATCTGGGAAAATGGCGTTCACAAGTCAGAGCCCGAGGTGACATCTTTGCATTGCTTGTAATATCTGATCCCACATATTCAGTTTCCAATACTATAAAACAGAAAAGCTGCAAATCTGAGAATTTTCAAAGCTGTACCAAGGACTGTTTACACTTTTTACTTGATGAAATTGAAAATGAACTTTTTTCAGCAGTAATTTACACTCACATTTTGGATTTGCCGAAGCTCGGTTGTTGCTGTGAGCACTTTCACCACTCAGTGTTGGAATCATCTGAGCACCATTAGTCTCAGGGTTTACTGCAGGTCCTCCGAGTGTCTGAATGGCTTTTCTGTGGGCTTGCAGTATTCAGGGTGCGTACAGCCACTCTTTTGAAGTGGAAACGTAGTCTCTGTGGGGATTTGACCAGATCACACTCATAATTCGCATTGAAATGAAGGTCGTTTTGCCCTACTCGAGCCAGAATGCTGTGTGCTCTGTGTTCTGCGCGCATCACCACGCAAAACGGAGAAAGACTGAGAAAGAAGAGCGACACTGAGATAGAGAGAAGTTGTGAGAAAGAACACAGCGTATTGTGTTGTGAAATTAAACACTTGCCAAGACACCAAAAGAAACAGTACAGACGTGAACTACCCTCATGTTGGCATGTTTTCAATAATAAAACCAACTGCCATATCTTCTTCTGTGATCGTGGTAATGCGTGAAAGAATCTCGGCTGTTTGGCGGTTATGATGTGTTTTGTAATTAAGTTATGAGCACACAGGCTTTGATGGGTATTCGCTGGAGAGCGTTGACGAATCGAGAGAATCCTAGATATGCTATGCTCCTTCATGTCATTATGTTTCCTTATGCCCACATTTTTTTCCATGCTAATTATAATTGGCCACATGAGGATCACAGACGTAAAAAAAAAAATATGTTGATTTATTTCATTTGAAGTGTAGAACAATGCAGCAGGAGCGAATATAGCGCTATTTTCTGCATCCGGATGATAGGTCACGGAAGTGAGATTAGACTACAGTGGATCATTGCTTTACATGTTGTAATAATATGTATCTGTTACACTGGTTGTGATATCATCAGTGTGTAACATGATCAAAAGCCGGGATGATTTGTTTGATGTTTCTGCGCTCCTCAGAGAAA